ATAAATGTGAGTTCTAAGTCCCAAATTGCTTAGAAAAGTAGAGGTTAAACACTTTATAAGTAAGAGGACCCATACACCTATCACCTTAAAGTTTTGGGTGAATATGTGGTGTCTCTCTCACTTGTTTGGGTGAATTGGTCGGTGATGGAAAGCTTAGATTGAGCTATTTCTAAAGCGAATACCAAGTCGCAGATTTGTTGACAAAGGGTGTGACAAATGATGTCTTCAAGAGGTTGAAGAAGTGCTTGAGCGGGGCAACTAAAGTGAGGTGGTGTCTTGATGCTGTTAAATTTCTATTATTGCTGATTTTTCTACTGATTACCACTATTAGTTTTTCAGCAAATAACAAAATTTAACAGCAGTGCCACTTTAGTTGTATTTTCAGATTTTATTTGTTATTCTCTCAATGTATAAATACTCTTTGTATATTCTAATTCCAAATTAATGCCAAAATTCATATTCATCCAATACTGTAATTCTTTTCTCTCAAATTCTCTTTCTCTCTCAATTTCATCTTCTTCCCAATTTCTATCTTCCACCATTCTTAAAACTTTCGACCTGTTTTTTGTGTTCCAACAAGAATGAGAATATATGTGGGGTATGAATCACCATATAGTATTAGATATCTTGAACCTTTAACATGTCATGTTTTTTAGGTAAGATTTGTTAACTGTCATTTTGCCAAAACAAAATTTTCAACACTAGGGGGAGAAAATTTTCGTGTTCCAACAAGAATGAGAATATATATGGGGTATGAATCACCATATAGTATTAGATATCTTGAACCTTTAACATGTCATGTTTTTTAGGTAAGATTTGTTAGTTGTCATTTTGCCGAAACAAAATTTTCAACACTAGGGGGAGAAAATAAAAAAAAAAATAGAAAACGAGATAATATGGTATGTACCCACCTATATAATAAATCACGGGAAGAAAATGTAAAACTTACAAGATTTAGCAAATCAACTGCCAAATTCTTTTACTGATTTGAAAAAAGTGACAAAGTCACATGTACCAGTTATAAATGTCTCAGTTCGGATTATGATTTCAAATCTAAATGATGTAGCAAGTACATTTAAGGCAAACTTAAAGTTTGACCCACCTATGGGATCCAAAGAAAAAAATCACCGACAAAGAAAATGAATATAACAGGTGAATTTGATTAAAAGTGATCTTGAAAAGACACTAGATAATAATAAATCCACTATTAAAAAACATGCTTTCGAAGAAGCACAAGATGATGATAATGAGATAATTGATAATGAAACTGAAAATAAGAATGATCTCGAGATTTCAATTAATTATGTTGATACGAGAACTTTTTGGAGTCGAAAAGGTATGAATATAGATGAAATGTTTTCATTCTCTATTGCATGTGAAATTATGAATGAAAATGATGACACCGAACCAAGAACTATGAATGAATGTCAAAATAGATATGATTGAAAAAATTAGAAGGATGCAATAGATACTGAATTAAATTATCTTAAAAAGCAAAAAGTATCTGGGCCTATTACGACTATAGCAAACTATGTGAAATCGGTTGGGTATAAGTGGGTCTTTGTTAGAAAACGAAATGAGAAAAATGAGATTGTCAAATACAAGGCTCATATTGTTGCACAAGGTTTTTACCAAAGACCATAAATTAATTATGAGGCAACTTATTCTCTTGTTATGGATGTCATTACTTTTTGTTATTTTATTGGTTTATCAATATTTAATAATCTTGATATGTATCTTGATATGAAAATCTCAGAAGGATTTAAAAGGCCCGAGACATCAAAACCTAGAGAAATGTATCCAATTAAGTTGTAAAGATTGTTGTATGGGTTAAAACAATCCGGGAGCATGTGGTATAACATGATAAGTGAATATTTGCTTAAAGAAGACTGTGGAAAATAATATAAGAAAAATAATATACAATTTTATAATAATTGATGTCTATGTTGAAGATTTAAATATCATTGGAACTACACACAAAAATTAAGAAAGCAATAGATTACTTAAAGAAAGAATTTGAAATGAAAGATTTGGGAAAAACCGGGTTATGCCTTAGTTTACAAATTGAGTATACTAAAAATGGTATATTGGTACATCAATCAAATTACACACAAAGGATATTGAAAAGATTTTTAACACGGACAAAGAAAATCCTTTGAGTACTCCAATGATGGGTATAACACTTAATGTTAAAAATGATTCTTTTAGACATAAGCTGAAGTACCATACACTACTACGGAAAACACCTCTTATAACGTTTGGAAAAGGGTACAACCACGCCAGACCAACCTTTTTGAGGTAAGGTGTGGTTGTATGTATGATTCTTACCACCACGGTTGTACGACTGTGATTTTAAGTCAAGTAGCACGCAACCTATCACAACGGTTACTTAAAAAACTGTTGTTGTACGTCTCAACCTATCACAACAATTACTTTAAACAACCGTTGTTGTATGTCCCAACCTATCATAATGGCTACTTTAAATAACCGTTGTTGTATGTCTTTTAATAAAATATAGTAGTAAAACAACAACAACAACATCAACAAGAATAACAAGAACAAAAATAAGAATAACAAGAACAACATGAACTACAACAAGAACAACAAGAACAAGAATAACAACAAAAACAACAACAATGACAACAACAACAATATCAATAATAACGACACCAATAATAACAACAATAAGAACAACAATAAGAACAACAACAACAATAAAAATAAAAAGAACAACAAGAACAATAACAACTAACATTGCTAACTCAAATCCATCTTTTTCTTGTCTCATTCAAGTTAGAGAAAAGGCGACGGAGTTCTTAAATTTGTTAATGAAAGAAATTATATTTTCAAGTTTTGTTTATGGAAGAAATGATGTTTTCGAGCTTGGTTTAGTGGAGAAATAGAGTGTCGTAAATGGAGGGTGATGTTTGGAGGTAGAAAATGAGTTCATCTAAGTTTTAGGTTTCACGCACATCATTAATGATAGTGTCTTGAGCGTTAATATTTACTAAATAGGTGACAAAGATTTGTTTAAGGATGATGAAGAAACTCAATAAACACACTTATATTTTCCCATTACCCTAAATGACTTTTCACCATGGTTGGAAGTTCCAACCGTGATAAAAAATGACTTAAAATTTAATAAAAACAAATCTGTAGGTGCTAGGATTCAAACTCATGACCATGCGACATTTTTCACCACAGTTGGAAGTTTCAACCGTGATAAAAGTGGCTTAAAAATAAATAAAAAACAAAAATGTTGGTTTTAGGATTTGAACTCATGACCAGACGCCACTTTTCACCACATTTGCAAGTTCCAACCATGGTGAAAAGTGACTTAAAAATGAAAATAAAAGGAAAACGCCTACGTGAATAGATTCTACCATGGTGGATACTTTAGCCAATGTGAAACGACGTTACGAAAGATACTTTTGTAGTAGTGATACCTTAGTGCCATTGAGACACTCATGTACCTTGCTAACTATACAATACCATATATAGCTTTTGTAGTGAATTTACTATCAAGATTCATTTTATGTCATGTAAAAAGACATTGGAAAGGAATAAAACATATATTTCAATATCTCCGAGGTACATCTGATATTGATTTGTTTTATTATAACAATACAAAATCAACTTTGCTTGGTTATGCAAGATATTTGTTTGGTAACACTGCAATATCACGAAGATCATAAAAGCAAACACTTGTAGCAATTTCTTCAAATCATGTTGAAGTAATTGCCCTTCATGAAGAAAGCAAAACATGTAAATGGTTACGATGTCTAACTCGATATATCCAAGGAGCGTCTGGTTTAGTAATTGATGATAATCCAACAATTTTGTATGAAGACAATGTTGCATGTGTTACCAGTTGAAAGAAGGTTACATCAAAAGTGACAGAACCAAACATATTCCTCCAAAGTTCTTCTCATTCACACAAGAACTCGAAAGAAACAAATAAATTGATATTCAATATATTAGTTCAAGTGATAATGTGGCAGATCTCTTCACAAAGACACTTCATACATCAGTTTTCAAAAAGGATGTACAAAATATTAGAATGCGTCACTTCGAGATCTTTAAAGAAGAATTAAATGTGTTTTGTTAAGGGAGAACATCGTGTTCTATTCTTTTTTCCCTTATTAAAGTTTTTATTCCACTGAGTTTTTTCTAAAAAGAGTTTTAACGAGGCAACATATGTTCCCATAAGTTTCTCATCGACAAGACTTTAATGAAGTATCGTAATAAATATTTTAAAGAGGGAGTGTTGTAAAAATAAGAATATTATTATTATTTGTTGAAAATATCTATCTTAATTGTAATGATCAATTATTGTAGATGTTTAGTTTGTCAAAGTTAAAATAGTAATATAAATTATTATATTAGTGTAATAGTTGTATTTCTAATAGTATAAAACACAACAATTTTCTTTAGAAAAATTGCGGCGTTCTATTTGTTCAATATTTTCTATTAACTTAATATTATATAATTTATTTCTATTAACTTGATATTATATAATTAGATCAGTAACTTTTATCAGTTCACAAATATTAATAAAAAAATATTCCAAAAATCGATCTTTTCAACAAAACTAATATTATTTTTATTTATCTTGTTTTGGGGGACTCCAAATATGTTTTTTTTTTGTTTTCAATAATTTAGTTGGATAATGCAATGAGTTAAATGGAAATGGAAATGGACTAACAAACTAGTTGACAGCCAACAGTCTCGCTTGCAGAAGATTCAAGAGCAAATGAACAAGCAAGAACAAGAAAAAGAAAAATTAAAATAAAATACATCGCACCCACTCACTCAATCACTCACAACAACAGAAAGATTCCTCCTGTTCCCGCTTTCTCTCTCGATCTGCTACTGCTAGGGTACGTTACTTTCCCTGCACCCTCTTTCTTCGTCCCCAAATATACTTCCCTCACGCGTTTCTTTGTTCTTGATTCAACCGTTGACCTTCTCTGAATCTTGTTTATCAGACTCGGAGCAGTATGGATTGCACCGCCGGTACGTGTTTGTTTCCGTTACATCGCTGCAAAACGATTCACCTCGTGAGACATGCGCAGGGGATCCACAATGTGGAGGGAGATAAGAACTACAAAGCGTACTTGAATCCTGAATATTTCGATGCTCACCTCACTCCTCTTGGATGGGAGCAGGTTGATAATTTGCGGAAGCATGTTCATTCCTCTCGATTGATAAACAAGATTGATCTTGTTATCGCTTCTCCTTTGATGAGGTATTATTACTTCGATTAATTGATTCCTCTTTGGGGTTAGTGCTCCAATTTCAATTTGAAAGTTGAGTTTGTTGGATGCATTTATAACTTAATTCATATTGGATAGCCTGGTAATCTTTGGTAGGATATTCCAAAATTATTGGAATTTAGATGTAACATGTTTCTTGAAAATCCACAATCTCTAGTTGATTAATAATGAAAACATGTACTTAGGGTATGTTTGAATTGGATTGACTTAGTTGAACTTATCTATGGAGAGACATAAACACTAGTGAGTCTGTTTTAAAGAACTTATGGAAACAACTTATTTTTATAAGTTTTTCAATATAACTTAAACGAAAATAATTGAACTATATTTCATCTTTTGTTATTGAAATAACTTTTACATAAGTGCTTATCATGATAAACATTTATGCTATATGCTGTAAATTTTAATGTTTATACAAACAGGGCCTTAGTATTTCACATCAGCTTATTTTTAAGTCATACGCGTCACTGTCGCTGACTTGACAGCAATTTGCTTGTTGTTAAGATTTCAAGTTGTTACCTTTGGGGACCAATTTGTTAGATGTGCACTTTTAGAAACCCAAAGTAACACATGGTATATCTTATCCCTGATTTATTGAAGTTTCCTTATCAATAAATATGGGATCCTAAAGATGCTCGAGATATATTTTTTTTGTGAAAAATACTTTGTAACTTGTTTCATACAAATTACGGCTTCAGGACTTTGCAAACAGCTGTTGGGGTATTTGGTGGGGAGGGATACAGTGGTGATAAAACGGATGTGGTGCCTCTTATGGTGGCAAATGCCGGAAATAGCTCTCGTGCAGCAATTTCAAGTCTTAATTGCCCACCAATTGTTGCTGGCGAACTTTGTCGTGAACATTTGGTATGCAACTCTCTACATTTTGAACATATTTTTACCCTGTTTCAAGAGTGTGAGCATTATGTTATTGTTGGTATACGTGCTAGAGTTAATTAACAAGTTAAATCTTTGTCTCAGTATGGCAGGTTGTGTGTCTTGGTCATCACAATTTTTTAACTGTTAAGATAACGCCTACTACCTGCACACTCATTGTTAGTTGGAATCTTGCTTTTCACTTCAGGTGGAGAAGGGAGAAACTAAGAATTTTATTTCTATATTACTGTTAACTTATTTTGCAATTCCCAGTTAATTGCCCAGAATAAACCCACAAAATTTGATAGAAAAATTTGGAAGAAAAAGAAGTAGAAAAAAGCATTGAATACTTAATCACGTGTAACAATCAAGTACCTGTACGTTATACTTGCCAAGTATGAATACGGCAATCCTTTTGAAAGTACTGTGCATCACAGTGTATCGATTATGAATAATATTCAGTAGGGATGTTATGAAGAGGGATTGTTAACTTATGCCCCAAGGGTACAAGTTAAGAACTAAATTAAGAAATATTGTCTTGGAAATTGTGTACAGACATTAATTAAAATATAAAATTAATTTTTAAATTGTTTTTTCCAATACAAATTTACTATAAGTGGGTTTCTTAACTTGTGCCCTAGGGGCACACAAGTTAGCATTATCCTATATATATTAGTAATAAAGGAGAAAGGATGCAATAAATTTATATATTTGCTGCTTCTATATTTTCTTTATCCCAGCTACAAAATTATCATAAGTTTATCTTTTGAGCAAATAGGGTTTCTTAGGCTTGACATTAACATTGACAGACATATGGATTATGAACCTTACAAATTTCTCCACATTTTTCCTCATGTAGGGAGTTCATCCCTGTGACAGAAGAAGAAGTGTTAGCGAGTATCAGTTTCTTTTTCCTGCTGTTGATTTTTCACTGGCAAGTGCTTATACTTCAAGTGCCTGAATGCACGTGGTTTATGATTTTATGGAAGATAGCTTATAACTTATTCCTTTCTTTAGCCATACAAAGGTTAGCCAAAATTTGATTGCTGCCATCGGGTTTATATTAGTCTCTTTAAGTGTTTGTTTCAGATAGACAGTGATGAGGATGTTTGGTGGAAGGATGATGTGAGAGAGACAAAGGAGGAACTTGCAGCTAGGGGGCTGAAGTTCATGAACTGGTATGTGGGTTATCCCTTACAACAAGAAAGCTCCAAGGTTTTGTTAATACTGCATTTGAGAAACACTTAAGTTGGATTTTAATGTATGATCAAGTTAATGAAATCTATTATCAGCATGTTTGGTAGAAGATTTGATCCAACACTAAAAAAATTGATGTTAAATTGATATTTTACCCATTCCATGACAGTTTTTCCAGAAGCCCCCTTTACTACCTTTCGTCCAAGGTTCCCACAATCTAAAACTAACAGCCAATATACAGTAGGACTCTTTCCAAGCAGGAAGACAACATCAACTTATCTTTACTGAAATTTAATTCAAATTTTACATTTTACCAAGTTCACTAGATATAGCAGAATGTGTATTAATGTAAAAGAGAGATGCTCTTGATCCTGTCACTTAGCTCTACTGTGACCATTGATGTTTGAAGATAATACTATTTTAGTTTCTTCATCTAATGTCAGCAAGTTATCATTTATTCATTCCGATCACTACTTTAATGTCTCATACTGTGATTAAAAGCTAGATATCTACTTTTTGTTTTGATTCAGATATGCAATTACTATCATTTGTTAAAGATTCATTTATATGTTCTGAAAATATATTTTATTGCTTTTTTGACTTCTCATTACTTTGGTTTTAACTTTATCTCAGGTTGTGGACACGAAAAGAGAAGGAGATAGCGATTGTGACTCACAGTGGATTCTTGTTTCACACTCTAACTGCATTTGGAAATGATTGCCACCCCTCGGTGAAGAAAGAAATATCCAAGCAGTAAGCTCTCTCAACACCTCTGCCTCCAACCTAGCAATTGTGATTTGCTTCTCTTGTTCTGTGAAGCATGAATTGTTGCTTCTGATGTAGTAGCACTCAGTTTTATTCAGTGCCTTAGATTCGTTAATTTGGGATCAAGTTCCTGCAACTTTTAGTATTAAACATAATGACTAATCTGACTTAGTGCCTTAATTTAAGCTATTCTTAGTGGTAGCAAATGATTGACTGATTTAACATAAATTTTGCAGCTTTGCCAACTGTGAGCTTCGCTCCATGATCATTGTGGATAGAAGGTGAGTTTGCAAACAACCTATATACCTACCTTCACACTAAAACCTATAATCTCAACCAGAATTGGTTTAATTTATGTTTTTCATCCAGTATGTTAGGGTCGGAAGTATCAACTACTAACTATCCAGGCAAGATACCTTCAGGGCTGGACAAACCTAGTGATGCTGTGGATGAGAACGTTGAGAAGCAGGGCGTTTAGTTTTGCTACATGTATGTGTTTAGTTCCATTTAAACATTGAACTGCTGGGCATATAATCATTACTATTTGAAGATGATGACTCATACAAAATCTAACATGATTGTTTCAGACTTTACTTGGTGCTAAAGCCTTGCAGCTAACATTTAGTGTCTATTAGAAATATTTATTGGTATGGTTGTTGAACCAAGTAAAATATAAACTATCTAGGCAATTAGGCGACCCTGGCGTGCTAATGCAGTAACAAATACGTTTGTTTGGTGGCGGGGAAAGGATAAAAGAATATTAGTGCCATGTAACAAACAGATTGTCTAACTAAGTTTAATTTTAGAATGAAGACTGTGTCCCTTGCACAAAATCAGATCCATTTCGTTCTTTACAAACATACGCAACTTTAAGTCTCTTGAAAAACAATTTAGCCACTATCTAAAGTCTAAGCCTTTATCTAGCATGTCATGTCACTACGCCATATTACTTTGACACTATTCTCCCATCTACATGTCTTAATTAATTATGAATCTTTTTTTTTTAATAGCAGTAACTTGCCAAATAAGCATATTTGTATGCTATTTAATTTGATGCCAACCTTAATGGGCATACAATTTCAATTATGAGGAATCAAATGCGTTCGGAATACACTACAAAAGCACTTTCCTTATCCACCGAAGGTTAAGAACCCAAATATATATTTTGGGTTGAGAGTTTCCACAAAACCGTAGTCAATAATAGCTCTGATTGTAACTTATATTTTGTTTTTCTGAAATTAGAAATATATTGAACATGTTGAACAAAAAATGGCCGATATTTCTAGTGAGAGCAGGTGCCGTGCTACATAATTCAACGGGAGTAGAGATTCTCTTTCAAGTCAACAACACCATGAATCACACTCTTATCCCTTCTCACTCTACCAATCAATGCTATGCGGGTCCCCTTGACCCTACCACCAAAATGTCCAGCTATTCCATTTCCACCAGGACACACACAATGTTATCCTCACCATCACCAACGCGCTCCAAACCATATTTTCAACCAACGTGTTCAAACAACAAGGCATAGCAATCACAACGCTACCCTCTCATTTATCAAACCCCAAACAACACCTTAAAAAATCTCAATAATAAAATATAAAAATATTTAAAAATTAATCATGCAGAAAAAACGCCTCCTCTTTTTCGCGGGTCTTCATTAAAGAAGCATAAAGCGAACACTTGTGCAACACTTTTTACAATTTGTCTTCACTCTTCAATGGAGACCTATCAATATCCTCCTTCATATCCAGATTCCGGCCACTCATCACCACGTTCAAGAGATATCGATTTCGACAATCAAGCCTCATGGGAAGACCAGCAGAACTACAAAGCCAAGTTCATGTGCAGCTACGGCGGAAAGATCCAACCACGCAGCCACGACAACCAGCTTTCTTATATCGGCGGCGACACCAAAATATTAGCCGTCGACCGAAACATCAAGTTTCAAGCCTTCCTCTCCAAGCTCTCCACTCTCTGCGACGCTATTCCACAAGAGATAAGTTTCAAGTACCAGCTTCCAGGTGAAGAACTCGACGCTCTCATCTCTGTCACAACAGAAGACGACCTCGAACACCTCATGCATGAGTACGATCGCCTCTACCGTCCTTCCTCAAAACCTGTTCGAATGAGGCTCTTCATATTCATCACTCCAAATTCGGGTTCGATTTCTCAACCTGATCTACTTAAACCTCAATCCAACGCTGATTTTCTCTTTGGTATTGATAACAAAACCCAAGCTCCACCAGTTCAACCTCCTTCCTATGCTGCTGTGAAGTATCATGAGCCTGTGCCAGATCTCGTTGCGCAGCAACCTGAGTATCCACCACGTGGACCCGCGGATGATAGTGTGGAGATTCAAAGGCAGTTACAGCGTTTACAGGTCTCCGAGAGTGAGCAGTCCTTGTATCGGAGAAGTGTAGATGGATTCCCGGGAGGATATGCCGCTGCTCCCACTCCCGGAGGCGATTATTACTTACAGAAGATGCCGGAAAAAGCTGCTCCTTCAAATTCGCCAACTGCTGTTCATCAACCTGCGGGTTACTGGCCGGAAAAGCAATTTTCCAGCGACGGTTTTCCGTTGACAGGGATGAACACTTCCGGTGGAGGAGACCAGCATGTATACATGATGCCGCCGCCGGGAACATTCTACCACGCGCCTCAGGTGATGCGTCCACAGACGGCGCAGGTGACTCAGGGGTACTACGCTGTGCAGCGAATGTCATCTGATGGATACCGGGAACAGCCGGTGTATGGTGGCGTTCAACCTCAGAGTGTAGCGTTTTCGTCTGCGGGTCAGGGGAATTTAGCACCGACTCAGCAAGTCAAACCTTCGGCTTATGCGGAAGGATATGGCTTAGTTAGGCCAGCTGGCGTAGCGGATAATGCGGGAGCTGCTGGGTATGCGCAAGTGGCGTATGATAATGCAAGTGGGAGACATATTTACTATACTGCGCCTGGAGGGATGGTCCATGCGCCGCAGTATCAAGGGGTTACTCCGGTATTCAGCAATGACATGAGACCGGCTGCGGTTCCTGTGGGCCAGGATTCTAAAGGTGTAAACAAGGGTCCACAAGGATAAGTGTGATTAATTATTGTTGTGATTATGTTAATTTTAAAATAATATATGCTCAATAAGTGTTGCTTTTCTTATGTTGCTTTTTCTTTAAATATATATAATGCCAATATTGTTACCATCTCAAACAAAGAAAACAATTTCTCTAAAATGTTTTACACTAAGAAACATTAACTTCAAATAGAAACTTATTATTTTGTTATATCCCTTCATTTTTATTAGGATATTTTGAAATGGGTTAATATTTTAGTTTGAAAAGGCCAAAATTAAAAATATATTAACAACAGTTCATTTTTGTTTTTGTTTCTGTTTCATTAAATATCTAAAATTTGTTTCAAGTTTGTAAATTTTTTCAATAAGTTTGGTTCTCTCTATTTTGCACGTGGAGATAACTTGATAGTATTTTGTCATTCATGAGTAATTTAAATATTATTATCTAAAGATCCATAATCATACCTCCACTATAGATTATCATATCTTATAAGAAAAATTAGTAAGCGTTGAAATTATTTGTTTTTTTTTTTTTTTGGTATGTTTTGTGTGGGTAGAAATTTATTTCGTTTATTATTTTTTCATTAGTGGTATCAAAGTTTATACTTGAGAGAAAGATTGTTGAGAAATAAATTTGGGTTGTGTGGAGAAATAAGTGTGAGTTTTAAGTCTCACAATGTTTAGAAAAGTGGAGGTTAAACATTTTATAAATAAGATGATCCATACATTTATCACCTTAAGATTTCAGGTAAATAAGTAGTGTCTCTTTCACTTGTTTGAGTGAGTCTTTAATCTTTTGATAAGTGTTTGACTCAATGTGAATACTTTTCCCCCATAATGACCCCATCAGTAAGAAATCCGTGCCTACGCATAAATATGTTTGTTTTGGTGGAATATGGTTTTGCATGCGTATTTGTATACTGTCATGAAAATTAGAAGATTAATCGTTTTAGTTTTTTTACAAATAAGACAAATAATTTATAAGAGAGAATACAATTTTTAAATATCAACTCAATCTTTTTTAATAAGCTTCCTTAATTCTTTTCACATATTTGACATTGATAAATTTCTATTATTCAATATTTGAATCAGTAATAAAGTTGTTTTTATTTATAACAATAGTATTTTCTCTCATATATAAAAATATTTTAATTAACAATGTATTTTTTTATATATAAATATTATTTTTGTTTTGACATTATTTATAAAAATATTTGAATTAATAGTAAGGTTGTTCTTGTATATAAAAATATTTGAATCAATAATATAGTTTTTTTCGTATATAAATATTATTTTTATTTTAAAAATATTTATAAAAATATTTGAATCAATATTATAGTTGTTCACATTTATAACTATAATTGGATTAGTAATTTTATTTTTTCCGTTCAAATAATTTTTATGATATGAGAAAATAATTTTTTTTTTATAATTTTATTGATTCACTACTTATTGTCATTATTTATTAAATATTTGGAACAACAATAAATTTTTGTCCGTTTAAAAAAAATAATTAGTTTATAAAAATATTTTTTTAACTGTATAAAAGAAAGAATTTTTTTTAAATATTTAAAAATAAGAATTTTACATCTCAAACAATTAGAGAGAATTGTTGTTTAGAATAAAGTTGATATTATTATGATAGTGAGACAATAATATAAGCCAAACAAAGCCTAAATCAATATAAGCCGGATGAAGACAACATTAGATCAGTGTTGAACAACTTGCCATAATATGCTAAGTGGGCAGGGTCATCTGCCTAATAGGGCTCGATTTTGAGACAATAAATTGACTCAGTAAGGAGTTATATAACAGGTTATTGATATCGACTATGAAGTTAAACATCAGACAAAACAACATGATAATGATGACCATAATGACATATTAATGGCAATAGATGTAACGATCATAATAGTAAAAGGCCATGAAAGCTGGCAATGCAATTACATAACAGAAGTTTCGATGGCCAGCCAAAGTAACTATAAATACGTCAGGGAGAGATCAGAGAAAGATATCAGTTATTCACATATCACTTAAATTGAGGATTTTCTTTTCCAACACAAGCAAAGTCACAAACATTCTAATTTTTGCAAGTACATTTGGCATTCACTGCGGACCCCGATAAAATTAACCTAAACCTTACCGATTTCTTTAGAGTGTTTGTTTTACTTAATCACTGTTTCTCAATGGTTGGCACAAGAAACACATTGATCTTTAGAAATAATGATGTCCTAATGAGGATGCAAGCAACCATGGATGAGTTGAACCTTCAAACAAAACCCTACAAACTAACGTTCTAAACATCCAACAACATAATGAGGAAGATACATAAGGGGGCATAAAGGAATTGGATTCCCAACCCATATCTGTCAAACTCTAGAACACCCATATCTTGAATAACTTCAAGTCGCCATAATTGGTAACATTTGATGCAAAAAAATGATTTCTTAGAGCACACCACAACCATTATTACACAAATGGTGATAATTGACGCAGCATACTCCCTTAAGTATAAGCTATTGACCAGGACATTGAAGGAAGCAACTACGCGTTGATACATAAACCTTCCTAGGTTTTGACTAACTATTAGGATTTGTCTAGAAAACTAATCCATCAAAATTTTTAACGAGCAAGCATTGTAAAGTATGTACCACCAATTTGTTTAATGTACAACAAGAGCACTCAAAATCATTACGAGAATATGTGTCGAGGTTCAGTAAGGAAATCATCAAGGTAATCAACCCCAATCAAGAAATGTTCGTAGGATTTTTCAAGAACAGGCCTAAGGCCGAACAATTCAATGAGTCTATTGCACATAAATCAACATATTCGATGGAAGAGATCATGACAAGGACATATTTTTATGTGATAGAAGAAAAAGCAATGATGAGAAAGGGCCAAAGTCGTGATGGAATGAAACCGCAGAGGATCCGAGTCCTCCATCAATCACAAGAACCACCTCACACAATGAATATGAGAAAGACGAATTTTAAAACCTAGTAGAAGGCAATAACTTACTAAAAGATCTACATAATACTGCACACCTCTAAACGCTAGGGAAAGTAGTATGACAAAAATTGTATCACACTAAGGCCATCCCAAATCCTCCACTCTCAAACTTGAAAGCTATGCTAAGTGAGCCCGACAAGTGGTGCAAGTACCTCAAATTAAAGGGTCGTTATACGAACAATTGTCACCAATTGAAGAAATAAATTATGCGTCTCATTCAAAAAGACTATTTGAGAAGATATGTCCAGGGATCACCCTATAACTCTGGGGAAAGTTCACAACATCTAGGGCGAGATCGTCTCAAGAGTCCTCATCCTGGAAAAGGAAATGAGCCTGAAGTTGGCGAGTAGTTATGTCACATTCTTCACACCATCGACGAGGGATTTTTCGGGGGAGGCGAGTCAAGCTCCTCTCGAAAAAGATATGCTCGCGAAGTTATGCATATCTCGAAGTCACTTTTGATATCAATAACTACCCATTCGTTTGAAGTAATCATCTTAAAACACAATGATACCATGATTTTACCTTATGAAGATAACTCAATGGTCATTAACATTCAAATGTTTCATTGGAATGTGAAAAGAACTATCATTGACTCTGGTAGCTTGACCGATGTTTTTTTACTCTGACGCTTTCAAAAATTACAATTGAATCACTTTGAACTTATAGGCTTTGTGCTTGAGGGAGAATGAACCAATATGATTTAAAACACTCCGCCCTTATATGCCTTGTGCTTAAGGGACTATGAAGCAATATGCTTTAAATCTGTAGATGTTTTTGATTGGCTGCATTTTGTGGCAAAACATTGGTGTATGTGTGAATGTCATAACTGATGTTATAACATACATGAAGAGTGCTCTGCAGGGTAAGTTTGGATAGCTAAGAGCAAGATAAGTTGGATGTCATGCTGGATGTTATGACATCAAGCTAGTGACATCAGGGCGCACTGTTTAGTTTTTCTGGTATCTAAGATAAGGGAGCTCAGGCTAGATTTTAGGAAGCATTTTAGGATGGTAAGGTATCTCAGGCGAAATGTCAGGCATTGCTAAGGATAACATAAAATGCCTCTAACCTTGTTGTAAGTGCGCAACTTCATGAAAATAGGTTTAACCTTGATAAACCTAATTTCTGCACTAAAGCCCAAAGACAATCTGCTGCTATAAATAACAGAGGATCAATTCTAATCAAGAAGAGAGATTAAAGAGTGTGTTTTGTGAGTGAAGAACTCTGTGTTGTGCAGTTAGGTCTTCACGTGTGTTTTCTGTCTTATGAATACTTGTGAGTCAAGCAATTATCTGTTGTACGATTGCATTGGTTTAGTATTGTTGAGCTATTTGCTATTTGTGTCACTCGAAGCTTTTAAGCAAGAGTGCTAGGTCTCTTGATTGAAGCTGTGAAGCAAAATCAAGATTTTTTTGAAGTGTGTATTCATTTCTCATTTGTACCTTTGAATTGGTTAATATCACTGTTGTGATTGAGGGGGAGTGAGTTCGGAACTCAGGTCTAGTGTTAGGCTGAAGTGTTATTGGGTAGGTCTTAAGTGAAGAGTGAAAACTGGTTGTTTGACTCTGAATTAATTCTACTAATAGTGAATTTTCTCCCTGCCTTGGTAGCCCCCAGAGGTAGGTGTGGTTTGCACTGAACTGGGTAAACAATTACCTGTGTTATTTACTGTTTTCATTTACAGTTTGTTATTAAGTTTTGTAGTCAGTGTTATAGTGGATGTCATAACATTCATGATAATATCCACTATTTGATACTTAGAATTTCAAAATCACTTCGTCATTACACGCGAGCACTTAAATTGGTACAAGTTAGATGAAGAGAACATTGCACCATGTTGACCAACTCACCTCAACATGTTATGCAGACGAGGTTACCTGGTTAGTTGAGAGGCTCGATGTTAAAACCCGAAGTTGACTCAACCACACATCACTTAACAAACTATTGATATCGGTTATGCTGTTGAACACCAAACAAATGCTAACCATGATGATGTAATAATC